GTGTGTGTGTGTGTGTGTGTGTGTGTGTGTGTGTGTGTGTGTGTGTGTGTGTGTGTGTGTGTGTGTGTGTGTGTGTGTGTGTGTGTGTGTGTGTGTGTGTGTGTGTGTGTGTGTGTGTGTGTGTGTGTGTGTGTGTGTGTGTGTGTGTGTGTGTGTGTGTGTGTGTGTGTGTGTGTGTGTGTGTGTGTGTGTGTGTGTGTGTGTGTGTGTGTGTGTGTGTGTGTGTGTGTGTGTGTGTGTGTGTGTGTGTGTGTGTGTGTGTGTGTGTGTGTGTGTGTGTGTGTGTGTGTGTGTGTGTGTGTGTGTGTGTGTGTGTGTGTGTGTGTGTGTGTGTGTGTGTGTGTGTGTGTGTGTGTGTGTGTGTGTGTGTGTGTGTGTGTGTGTGTGTGTGTGTGTGTGTGTGTGTGTGTGTGTGTGTGTGTGTGTGTGTGTGTGTGTGTGTGTGTGTGTGTGTGTGTGTGTGTGTGTGTGTGTGTGTGTGTGTGTGTGTGTGTGTGTGTGTGTGTGTGTGTGTGTGTGTGTGTGTGTGTGTGTGTGTGTGTGTGTGTGTGTGTGTGTGTGTGTGTGTGTGTGTGTGTGTGTGTGTGTGTGTGTGTGTGTGTGTGTGTGTGTGTGTGTGTGTGTGTGTGTGTGTGTGTGTGTGTGTGTATTAGATTCTCCAAGTAGAATAGTGTTTCATATTTGTTTGTGCCATATTTTTAAAAAAGGGACATAGTGTAAAGATTTTAGTATTTAGTTTCGATATAAAATATATATATATAATGTTATCTGAAGATAAAGAAGTGTGTGTCTGTTTTGTGCCATATTTTCAGAAGAAGTGTATTTAGTTTTTTATCTTTTGATACATCATGGATTGATATCACTGTTAGAAAGCTCATTTCCTTTTCCAAAGTACTTGAAGAAACTGTTACAAGAAATATAAGTGAGAAATCACTTTTCATTTTGTCTCAGAGAAAAAAAAAATCATTCAGTTGTGTTAACCCAATACACATAAGCTTTTTTTGGCGGCTGTGCAGTCCACCAAACAGGTATATCTTTATGGGCTGCATCTGTAGGGATGACACCCGCGGTATCGGTGCTATGCTGCCATAGCATCATAGTAGATGCCACCCATGAACAAGGGGTTAATAAATGATTTCTGCTGATAATGTGTTTCATTACCAGAAGTAATTGAAGCTAAAGTAGGTCCAAGTTTTGTTACAAATGAAAGGGAAAGAATTCACTGAAAAGTACTTGCTTTAATTACAAGCTTACATAATCAATATACAAGATTCATTTATAAAGAACCCTTCAGTTATAATAATTATTAATTTGTAAAAAAAAAAAAATCACCTGGCAGTTATTCTTCCTACTCATAATGACTGTTTTATGACTAAACTAATATTTACAATATATAATTTACAAGTTATTAATGTTTAACATAATATTCATTTGATTGTGCAAATTGTTCTTTTTTTTATAAATTAAGTAGAATTTCTAGCTGCCTACATATAACTATGTATCAACAAAAAGCCTTAATAAACTTTTACAAGATCTATCTGCAACTAGATCTTACTAAGTCTCAACCATTCACAGGATCTACAGATTTTCACCTTTCATATACACATCAACACAGTCTGGTTGTTATATTAACACAATTGTACATAACATTAAAAAAAAATAATAAAACAAAAGAAAAAAAAATAGATATTAGCAAACATATGATAAAAAATGGGGATAAAACTATACAATTGATACTAAACTATGAATCACCTAAATTAAAATACACACAAAAAAACAAACTAATGTAATCCATATAATAATTCCTTGAGACATGCCTTGAAGTACTAAACTCACGACATGAACCAAAGTTTTGGCACCAGAGACAACTTTGCTTTTCTTTTCTTTATTTTCCTTTTTTTTTTTCCTAGCTCAGAACTATACCTTGCTGAATTTCATTCCTGTGAAAGCAGAAAGGTTGGTTATAAATAAAAGAAATTAATATTCATCAGTATTGTCATCCTAAACCTATTGGTAAGAACAAAAGTAATTATGACTAATTACAAGAGTAATATAAAATAAATATGTTCAATCAAGTGAACATGTAAGGACTACAGAAACTGGCCACACAAACCTTCATCGTTTGAGTAACAGTTATGGCAGTGCAGCTTGTGATTGCGTACTCGCACATCAGCACCTGCTGACCCATTGCCTAATTGTATGCCACACACACAACACTTGAAGCAAGGAATATGATAGAAGAGTCGCAAACTCTCAATGATCATTGCAGCTCCTCGACCTGTAAGAATAAGGACAAACTGATTAAAAACTCACTAACTTCACTAATACATAATCACAATGATAACAAAAATAAACACTATTATATTCAGGAACATAATTAATACTATACATATCTATATTAATAAAATAAATCAGCAACACACTGCATTTCACAAAAGAATAACATACCCAGTTCCTCTGAGCAATGCGAACACTTCTTTTTCCCCGAGACACTGAGCAGCCTCTGATCTTGTCCACTCGAATGGTCCTGTGACTGAGAGTTGAATGGAGGCTGCTGGCTTTGCCCCATGCCAGACTGGTAGAGGGGAGTGTGGGTGGAGGGAGCACTTAAGGCATCGGCATTCATGTAGTCGTGATAATTCTCATCACGGTAGTTGTTATTGCCATAGGTGTTTCCTAGTCTGCAAAGATAATTGTGACATATTTAATACATGTTTTTTGATAATGAATCATTATCTGGTGGATACGCATACTTCAACTTTTAATGCTCTTCATAAATGTAAATGTTTCATAATGTTTAATAGATACACTAATTATTTAAAGAAAAAAATATTTAGATACATACCTTCCGTTAGTATTGGAGTAGGTATTCTTGCTGTTTTTATTATTGACTCTCTGTGTTATGTTGTGGATAATGGAGTCTGGAAGAGCTTTGTCACCATTGGGGGCCTGTGTGGGCATGTGAGGCTGATATGTTGTGGCTTGATTTCTCCACATGTTGTTATTGTTGTTGTTGTTATTGCTGTGGACTGGTGATGGGTTCTTGAGGGCTTGAGGGTAGCTGGAGTAGGTAGGACTTGCATTCTGAGGTGGGTAAGTAGGAAGGTAGCTGGTGGTCTGTGGGTGTGGTGGATGCTGAGGGGAGACTGACTGAGGTGGCAGAGTCTTTGCTGCTGGTGCACGTGTCTGTTGCTGGCGGTTGACTCTGTCCTGCTGCTCCAGTCTTCTCTGTTCTGCCTCCTGTGAAATTTTCATTAATAAACAGGTTATAAAATATTCAATTGCACAGAATATTTTCCATTTTGCATTCAGTCTCTTGACAACAAAATGTAGATGTAATTTCTTTACTTCAAATATTTTAAAACTGCTTATACTTAAAAGAAATAAATGACATACCTGGTGAAGCCAATGTTTACTGTAATCTCTTCTTTGTGACTCTGGTTTCTTCTTGGTGATCCAGCTTTCATTGTCTGTGAGGCGAGGCTTGGGGATGGCAGAGAGCGCTAGGAGAGTCTGTTTGGACATCTGCTGACCTGATGGGGAAACAGCCTCTCCTTGGTTTTCCTGCTGCTGGGGTGAGACACTGGTGGGGTTGCTTGTGGGCATTCGGCTCAATCTGGAAATAAGCATGTATTTCATACTAAACTGATCTAAGTACTGGCTATAAAAATATTATAGTCATTCAACAACAGCTTAATATAGTTTAATATAGTGATACAGTCTAGTCTTAGGGTTAAATTGATACTGAAGATTGCATTGAAAATGTCATCAGACATTACCTTATTGCTTCAGAACGTTCTGCAGAATCTCCAGGAATTTGGTGGGGCTTGTTGGGAGGAGGTGGTGGCAACTTCTTCTTCCTGGGAAGGGGCTCTGGAACAGGATCACGGGGAGAGCCTGTGGGGGATGACCTGATACCCTGAAGAGGAGGGTGAATGGGTGGAGCCCCAATGCTGGACTGGGAGTGTGACCGGGTGAACGGGTGGGGAGAGGCCAGTGTGCTGTACTGAGAGGGTGATCCAGCAGGGGTAGACACTGCTTTCTGTCCTGGACTGGCCACTCCCTCAGCTGGTGCCAGGCTGCTGGGCGGTGTTGGCTCGTACGTGGGGGCTGTGTAGAATTCCTGGATGGGAAGCTGTGGTGCTGGTGGCTGGTAATTGTTGTAGCTGTTGTTTTCAGCTGTCTGAGGTGCCTGTGGTGAAGGCACAGGTCCTCCTTCTTGGGAGGCATACATGGTAGGGGGAGGGATATGGGCAGGCTGGGCATCAGTGCTGGTTGTAGAGGCTGGTGCCAGCTTGCCTGCACGTTGAAGCATGTCCTGGTCATGCCTCATCATTTCCTCCTCCAGTTCAGCCAATTTCTAGGGGATGTTCAATAGCTAGTTAGTAAAAATACAAATTTTCTTACCTGTAAATCATACCTGTTTTTGTTTCTTATGTTAATATGAAATTAACACTTGAATAACCTTGGAAAAATATTATAGTTCATTAATAGATTTTGAAAATTAATTTTGACCCACCACCAATAGAATCAGTCAGATTTATATAATCATTCCCATAAAACAAAAAAGAATTAGATAATATAGGAAAATCAGAAGATTTCATAATTACTTTGGTCAATCACAATAACCCATAAAGTGCATTGTAAGTCTAGCACAAGAGCAAACAATAATCATGCTTTCCCAAAGGTCCGTGATAAGAAAATCAGTCTGTGAGAGGATTAAACAATTTTGAAAAAAAAATTACATGCTGAAAAAATACAAAAAAATTCTACTGTAGATAAACATTGAGAATTTCAGATGGTTTATTACCATAAATATGAAGGAATTATTTTGATTTTGTTAACATTAATTAAAATAAAATTTTAATCATACAAGGGTCTCTTGAAACAAAGTAGGAAGGATTATTTAAAGGTATTCTACTGTTTCCTCTTGTGCCTATCAGTCCCTGGGTGTTCACCTTATACGGGTCAGGATGTGAGCCAGTTGAAGCAACTGAGTCGCTACTGTAGTCCAGAGTACTGTAGTGGGACTCCAAGAGATCTGTATACTGCTGGCTAGATTCAGGTTGCACATTATTTTCTGCTTCAACTTCCATTTGGGTTTGAGTTGGAACAAATTTAGCAATAACAGCATTTGGCTCAATGACATGGGTTTCAAGCATTTCTGCTTTTGTTTCCACACTGTCAACAGTATCTTTAGAGGAAATGGGAAGGGCTTCAAAAGTTTCATCAGGACTTTGAGAACTCGTTTCCATGGTCTCCGGTACTTTAGTGTCCATAGTGGATTGAGGGGTTGTGGGGATGTTAGCAGAGGTTACAGGGACATTTGTGGCAACCTTGATGTCTATATCCGATTCTGAGGACGTTGACTCAGTCTGGGCCTGGGAAGGAGATAGGGTAGAAGAGGTGATATTTGTATGGTTTTCTACATGCTCTTCCTCACATTTCATTTGTGTGTCTGTGACTACAGTGTCTACAGTTTCTTTACTGTCAATGGATGCATCTGAATCAAGCTCACTTGGAAGAGGTAATGAGTCATCAGAGCTATCACTGATACTCTGGTCGCACAATTTGCATTCATCATCTATATTAAATCTAACAGTTTTTTCCTTAGAGCTCTTTTCAGACTTTTTCTCACTTTGCAGTGCTGAAACTGTAGGTGCACTTGAAACTGTTTGGGAGTCTGAATTCACAGGCTCAGTAATGTGCTGGGTGTCAGGTGCTGTGGGTTTCTCAGAAGGATCTAATAAGCCTGGAGAGTTCAAGTGAGAATTTGGTGATGATGGTGATGGTTCTGCATCTGGATGTGCATGAGAAGTAGTTGAATTTGCTGATGGCTGAGGTGATGAACTACAGGGTCCACATGAAGGAGAAGCTTCAAGCACAGATTCTAAAGTATCATTTGCAGTAACAGAATCACATGATACATTATCAGAATGTTGTAAAACTTCAGCCCCTTCTTTCTCATCTACTGAAGGAGAGGACTCGGAAGGCTGCTGAATATTTACATCAGTCTGTAAATTAGGATCTACTAAACTATATGTTGTGGAAGTTACAGAACTGTAACTAGTGTAAATAGGATCACTAACACTTGAGAGGGTTGGGGCAGTCTGATCTACAGATTCACCAGTGTTAACATGTTCTGAGGGAGCAGAAGATGATGATACAGGACTGGGAGCAATGTCCTGGGAAGGTGTAACTGTCAATTCTGGGGATATTATGCGGGGAGAATCAGCGCAAGGAACACTCTCTGGGGATATAGAATTTGCTGATGTACAAGCAGAGATTTTGGCAAGAGGGGAGGAGGGAGAAGGGGTAACAACATCAGAAGTCGGGGTGCTCTTTTCTGAGATGGTAGTTGAAGGCGTTGCCATTTCTTCACCCTCAGGGATTGGTGTCAGACTAGGGACACCACATTCTGGGGGTGCAATAGGCAAGGGAGGTGGGGAGGAACAAATCACCCTGTGGGGAGAGGCACTGCCTGATACCTCATCTCCCTCCGGAAGTGGAGACAGTGTAAACAAGTCACTATGAGAGGGCATGCAAGCTGCTAAGCTAGAACAAGGATGAGTGGGGTTAGCGACAGGTGATGGAGGAGGAGGAGGAACTGAGCTAAAGCCCTGTGGACAGGAATCCCTGTCTACACTCATCAACTGTAAAATGAATATGAGAAAGGCATTCATTATTCAAGGAAACTACAAATACTACATATACATTCTACATGAACTGGATTTTCACCAATAACACACACTTATTGCTATTCTGAAGTTCATGCTAATTCCAGTTCATTCATGTAAACAAGAAGGCTTCTGGAATGTTAATGCTAAGTGTACTACTAAGTAAATAAATTATGTATTCTGGTTTTCAAAAAATTAAAATCTTTAATTTAAAACAAAATAATATTTAATTGATAAAATATAAATAAATAACAATAAATTTAAGTATTTACTTACATTATGCTCTAAATATTACCAAGTAAAATAGAGAAGAATACAGTAAGTAACAATGTATATCTAGATTACAGCAAATCATAAGTTATTTGTTCTTACTGGTTTCTTCCGTATATATTACTAACCAACCATGAAAACCTGTCATGCAATTACTCTTCTTCATTATATAATTACAATAAATGTTGCTGATTTAATCAAACATAAATTATTATAAAATATTTTGCTAAGTCATGAGGTACTATCAAACTCACACAAATGTGATTACTCTAATACTAAATACCTATAAAAACAATTTTTTTCGTAACAAACTTTGACAACTTACCACCTGGTACTCTAAGTGTTCACTTAATTGCTTTTGTTTCCACACTGTCAACAGTATCTTTAGAGGAAATGGGAAGGGCTTCAAAAGTTTCATCAGGACTTTGAGAACTCGTTTCCATGGTCTCCGGTACTTTAGTGTCCATAGTGGATTGAGGGGTTGTGGGGATGTTAGCAGAGGTTACAGGGACATTTGTGGCAACCTTGATGTCTATATCCGATTCTGAGGACGTTGACTCAGTCTGGGCCTGGGAAGGAGATAGGGTAGAAGAGGTGATATTTGTATGGTTTTCTACATGCTCTTCCTCACATTTCATTTGTGTGTCTGTGACTACAGTGTCTACAGTTTCTTTACTGTCAATGGATGCATCTGAATCAAGCTCACTTGGAAGAGGTAATGAGTCATCTGAGCTATCACTGATACTCTGGTCGCACAATTTGCATTCATCATCTATATTAAATCTAACAGTTTTTTCCTTTGAGCTCTTTTCAGACTTTTTCTCACTTTGCAGTGCTGAAACTGTAGGTGCACTTGAAACTGTTTGGGAGTCTGAATTCACAGGCTCAGTAATGTGCTGGGTGTCAGGTGCTGTGGGTTTCTCAGAAGGATCTAATAAGCCTGGAGAGTTCAAGTGAGAATTTGGTGATGATGGTGATGGTTCTGCATCTGGATGTGCATGAGAAGTAGTTGAATTTGCTGATGGCTGAGGTGATGAACTACAGGGTCCACATGAAGGAGAAGCTTCAAGCACAGATTCTAAAGTATCATTTGCAATAACAGAATCACATGATACATTATCAGAATGTTGTAAAACTTCAGCCCCTTCTTTCTCATCTACTGAAGGAGAGGACTCAGAAGGCTGCTGAATATTTACATCAGTCTGTAAATTAGGATCTACTAAACTATATGTTGTGGAAGTTACAGAACTGTAACTAGTGTAAATAGGATCACTAACACTTGAGAGGGTTGGGGCAGTCTGATCTACAGATTCACCAGTGTTAACATGTTCTGAGGGAGCAGAAGATGATGATACAGGACTGGGAGCAATGTCCTGGGAAGGTGTAACTGTCAATTCTGGGGATATTATGCGGGGAGAATCAGCGCAAGGAACACTCTCTGGGGATATAGAATTTGCTGATGTACAAGCAGAGATTTTGGCAAGAGGGGAGGAGGGAGAAGGGGTAACAACATCAGAAGTCGGGGTGCTCTTTTCTGAGATGGTAGTTGAAGGCGTTGCCATTTCTTCACCCTCAGGGATTGGTGTCAGACTAGGGACACCACATTCTGGGGGTGCAATAGGCAAGGGAGGTGGGGAGGAACAAATCACCCTGTGGGGAGAGGCACTGCCTGATACCTCATCTCCCTCCGGAAGTGGAGACAGTGTAAACAAGTCACTATGAGAGGGCATGCAAGCTGCTAAGCTAGAACAAGGATGAGTGGGGTTAGCGACAGGTGATGGAGGAGGAGGAGGAACTGAGCTAAAGCCCTGTGGACAGGAATCCCTGTCTACACTCATCAACTGTAAAATGAATATGAGAAAGGCATTCATTATTCAAGGAAACTACAAATACTACATATACATTCTACATGAACTGGATTTTCACCAATAACACACACTTATTGCTATTCTGAAGTTCATGCTAATTCCAGTTCATTCATGTAAACAAGAAGGCTTCTGGAATGTTAATGCTAAGTGTACTACTAAGTAAATAAATTATGTATTCTGGTTTTCAAAAAATTAAAATCTTTAATTTAAAACAAAATAATATTTAATTGATAAAATATAAATAAATAACAATAAATTTAAGTATTTACTTACATTATGCTCTAAATATTACCAAGTAAAATAGAGAAGAATACAGTAAGTAACAATGTATATCTAGATTACAGCAAATCATAAGTTATTTGTTCTTACTGGTTTCTTCCGTATATATTACTAACCAACCATGAAAACCTGTCATGCAATTACTCTTCTTCATTATATAATTACAATAAATGTTGCTGATTTAATCAAACATAAATTATTATAAAATATTTTGCTAAGTCATGAGGTACTATCAAACTCACACAAATGTGATTACTCTAATACTAAATACCTATAAAAACAATTTTTTTCGTAACAAACTTTGACAACTTACCACCTGGTACTCTAAGTGTTCACTTAATTGCTTTTGTTCCTCTGTCATTGTTGTTTCCTCAGCCATGTGTTCTTGCCAAGTATACTGTGACTGCTGCTGTTGCTGCTGTTTCAGCTGCTCTGAGCGCTCAAGACTTTCAATTATTTCCCTCTCACGGCGAGCAATTTCTGCTTTGCTTAGTGTCTGTTTAAAGAATTGAACATTATTAGCTTCAGTGATCACTTACATGGTACTCCCTCGTATAGATAAGAGTTTCTATAAAAAAAATCATTCATCAAAATAAATCAGGCTTTTCATTTAATAGGAACCTTAAACCCTATACAAGTAAATTCAGTCTATGGGTATTAAACGCTACCTCTTGGATGGGAGTCCTGGCACGCTGCGACTCTGCCATGATGCGTTCTGCCTCACGCTCCTGCCTCAGAAGCTCACTGAGGTCTGGGGGAGGCTTCACAGTTGGTTCTGTTTAGGGAATGAAAACCAGCATAAGAATTTTATGACTGTAGCAAATGACTAATCATAATTTGCATGTAATTGTTAGTTACATAAGCTTGTATCTTTTGAGAACACGACTTCAGGTGCAAAAATGTTTCTAAATGGGATATATATTACATTTTTACATAAAGCAGGTATGAGAAATAAGAAATGAAATGAGTAATGTCACAGCTTACCTTCTTCAATGTATTGGGATGAAGTGCCCAGGAAGTCTGACCTCCTTCTCCAGAGTTCCTTCTTGATGCGACGGGTTGAGTTCTCCCGGGTAAAAGGCTCATCCTATATACATCCAGTAAATTATAATAATGTTTGTCCTTTTTGTTCACATCTTGTTCAGTGAGCAAGACAGTGTAATTCTAACCTCATTTAACTTATAATTTTTTTTTTTCACCAAACACAATAGTACTATCTAATTCATGTTCCTTTCCCTCGTCTGGTAGTTTCAAATTCTGAGTTGTCATTTTGAAATTTCTCAACATATCAGAAATTAAATAAAAAAGAGGAGAATATTATTACTTAAGTGCATGACAAAATCTACGAGTTTTCAAGGACACAACACAACAGTTACCAGTAAAATTAACAGTACTCAGCAAAATACTGCTACAACTCTGCACTAGAATCTACAATACAAACATTCTTTCTATTCAACTTGGATAACTGTACTGACCTTAAGAATGCAACATATCTTCTGGCATGCAATTTCCCCGGACTATTACTAGTGCTTGGGATATTCACTACTACCCTAATAATTTCAACACAAGTTTACTGTATTTCTATAACAACTGTTACTTGAAACTTTTGCAAGGAAAAGAGAAAAACGTCAACACAGATATGCTGAAGTAAAGATGGTTTCAACGTGAAAATATGTCTATTCTGTTTACATATCGTGACATGAGTGAACATGTTGCCGTGAGCATAATATGCCCTCTTATTAATTGAACCCAAAATTGATGCATTTTTTAGTATGAAAATCTCCACTCAACTAGGCATCCTTTATATATAATATGCTTTATGATAATTACTCATCTTTTAAACTGATTCTTAAAAATCATTTATATATTTCATTTTAGGGTGTTGTTAATAGTTCCATTTTACCTACTCGTAACTAATGTGTACATGTATTTGGCACTCAACAAAAAGCTGTAAACCTATTTTACCAAATTCATATACTTTTGAACCTCAGTACTTTAATAATGATAGCTTAAATTAAACTACTTTTTTTTTTAGAAGATATATACAAAAAAATTAAATGCGTATCTTTACCTTTTTCCATGTCTATCAGAGATAAAGAAAGATACAGAAGAATATAAAGAGATTGAATTTCCAAGGCAAAAAAAAAATACAAGAAAAAATTGCAATGTCGAACCAAGTTGCTCATTAATCTGATACAAAAAAAAAAAAAAAAAAAAAAGGCAAAGTGAAATCTCGAACAAAAAAGATTTAACAAGAATCTTGGAAGGCTCTGAGAGGAAACCAGATTTAGAAGTATGGAAAGGATATAATTCAAGGTGAAGTCTCTCGGCTCTGAGCCTCAAAAAAAAAAAGGAGTGCTTTGTATGTGCATATAGAAAGAATTATATATTTATAGATATGTAAAGTGTATTTAGAAAAGAGTTTAAAAGTGAAGCCAAGAAAAAAAAGAAAAAAAGAAAAGAAAAAAAAAAAAAAGTTATATACTCCGTGTCATTACATCCTGTAATAAATCAATTTCTGATTTTTTTTTGGATTTTTTTCAATGTGTTAAAAGAACATATTCTTGACCAAAGTGCAGTACCCACCTCCGCCTGCTCTGGAAGACCCTGTGGCTGATCTGATGCATCGTCGTCAGAATCGTCATCAGGGGGAGGGGGGGGAGGGGGCACGCAGGGTGGGGCCGCCTGGGAGGGGCCGTCCGTCCACGTCACGTCTAGCACCTGAGTAACCCACGGCACAGTGCCAAAACCAGTCATGCATTAGCACTCAACACCTGATCCTGTGACACCAATCTTATCCTTTTCTTTCTTTTTTTTCTTTCTCTCTTCGTAGCTTTTTCTTTTCCTTTTTCTTTTTTCTTTCATGAGGTTGATGCTTTAGAAGAATTATTTATTACTTTGTTTATACACATGTACATCTTTTTTTCTATCTTGACATTTGCTAGAGACACAAGGAACCCAGTCCATTGCGACACTAACTGCATTAGTCATATTAATTATTCACAAAGGCTCTCCACATCCTACCTTTGTATCAGTCAAAACTTGAACTATTATTTGTGATAGAATTAACCAATAGTTATTTTTACAGAATATCTGATGACCAAAACATTTATGATCATAAACATTTATTTTTTTGTCCAATGTTGTTAAAAAACTGATAATACTTTCTTCAATCTGTCCCTATTTGTTAAATGTTAAATGAGAAGAGCTTATTTTATTGAGAAAATGTGCAATTACTATTCAAGCACGGAAAATCACTCTGGATTTTATTGAGTCTTTAAAAATGCATGCTATTATCATTCTCACATGAAAATTAAGCATTGTTATTCCTTACATTCATAAACATTAATAAATTAGAAAGAAATACTGAAATCACATCTTGCATGTTAATTTTGACAAGTGGTTA